CAGGAAATGCCAAGCCTTCATTTCACAAAACACTCCTATCAAAGACACTGGATGCTAAGTTCCACACTTGGATGATGTACTATATTCTCAAAATATTTGAGAAATAAAGGTATTGTTCCATCATCCAAAACAAAAATCAACTGTTTTTATTGACCAAACAGTTCTAATATAAGTCATTTTAGATCTTATAGACTGTGGAAGTAACTGGCAAAAGTTAGGAGTGTCTATTATACATTTGATCGGATGAGAACCCTCATAAGCAATTTACTAAATGCTTTTGTACAGGTACCCTGTGTAAGGTCCTTTGCTGTAAGCAGAATTACAAGCAAACTTTAAATGATCAAGGAAAGACACGATTTCAAGAGCAAAGAACAGTGACACACTAATTCAAAGGGTTGGGCAGTTTCATCTACGTCAACGGGAGGAATAGTTTCACAATGACCAAGAGTGAATTACAATAAGAAATAAATCAATTTCTCACTAACCAAAACCCTAATTGCCAGAGTCAATAAAAAATGAATGAGACGAGTGGAAAGCGTTTCCCAAGAGTTTTCTTAGTAGGACACTCTAATCTCTCCCGACCAAAAACCAAGGCAGTCTGTTCTCAATTCTTCTCATTTTCCTTGTTGGCCCAATATATCTCAGCAACAAAAATACATAAAAATATGGGTTGCAGAATCATCAGTAAAAGAATAAAAAGACATGCCGAGATCTGCCAACTTTTTGGTCAACCTCCTAAACATCCGGACCATTGTGGCCAGACTCCTGGGATTTGCCCAGTAACTATTGTGGCTTCTTCAGGTGTCCACAGTTGCTTCACCGAGCAGCCAACCCTATACAATACTCAGACATTCTTCAAGCTGCGTATTTGGTCCATGCAATTACACGGACCAATCCCAAGCCAAATCTAGGTCCATGATTAAAAAACTCGAGCCACAAACTTAACAACTATCAACCAAATTAGTTTTGGACATGGAAAAAAGCATGCCAACCTACCCTGCTTTTCTTTCTGTTTCTTAATCCCTTCAAACTGGTGGGGCAGAAAAGAGTGAGACAACTTCACAGTTTTCAGAAGCATACCATGGATTCTAAAGATCATCTGGCCAGAAGTTGAGTGGACGAATTCCTCGGAGTACTACTTTAATTAGGAATATAGCCTGTGGATTTCCTGCCAATTTTACTACCCAATATATCATCTTCGTCTTCACTGTCAGTGGAGGAATCCACCTCAAAAAAAGTTTGATTTTTCTCAGGTTGTGGAGAATCTTCTAAAATAGTAACATCGTGCACCACGTTGCATCCACCGTCATTAGGGATACCTTGGCCAAACATATCAGCCAAAACTCCACAAGCTTCTGATTCTGTGGCTTGCAAATCATCCCAATCCTCAGTATCTTGCATAGTTTCGGCAAGTTCTGCTAGAAAGTCATCGCCACAGTGCTCCACAGTGATAAACTCTCAACGTTCGTCACCTTAAGAAAACCAAATGACGAAAGAGATTATTTTGCAAATCAATAAAACTACTAGCTCCAAAGAAATGACAATGAGATTAATGCTCAGTGAACAAAAATTGAACCAGCTCCGGTCCATTTAATTCCAAGGTAGACCATTTCACAGCCATCATCAGAACACTGACTAACCGCAACAAATCTCCTTATCTAGGAATGCACAATCAATCAATCCACAAATTGTCCACGCAACACAAGCAATTGCGTCATTCCCTAATCACCAGATATCACCCAATCTGGCCTGTAATCGAGAAGAAACCACCACCCAAAGTAAACTAAACACATCGAACTTGAACAGTGCCGGCCATTTTGCTCCTCAATAAGACTACTTCACTAAGCCACCTCCGGATCTATACAAACCTATAGCAGACTATTCCACAGCCATCATCATCGTGGTGGACAATGAAGCACCTACATAATATCTGCAACACCTACATGATTAAAGTACCGAAGAGGGAGACGAGACGGTCCAAGCACTTGGTGGCAGACTGCTGGTCGAAGCCGACCTCGAGAGCCAAGCTCAGCAACCGAGCTTTCTCCACCTCCTCCAAGCCCCCGATCCTCCATGGAATCTCATCTCAACCTGTTCCAGTGATTCGATCGATCGATCGGTGATGCAGCAGTCGGAATGGAATGAAATCGATCGCCAGTCTCTCGCGAGAGCGTGCGCTCAATGTGCTCCATTCGAAAGACCTTGCCAGCAATGGCGGGAATGAATAGGAGAGATTGGAGCCATATTTTTACGATTCTTTCCACAATTCCGTTTTTGCACCTGAAGTTTGTTGGAAGTTCTATTTTTGCCCCCCATAAGATTTTCTGGTTTCATTTGACACCCTTGGGTTGGGTCTGTTTGGTGGGGAGCCTTTTCTTTTTACTTTATTCTTTTCTGGGCTTGAATGGTTCTCGAACTTGGTTAGATAGGAATGTGGGCAAATGCTTCTTTGCATATATAAGACCATGAGAAGTATCTCAAAATTTCTTTTATCTGTTGTTGCGTATCAGCAAAAGGAAAAAACTGAGAAAGTAATACTTATCTTAATTTACATTTTTACTTTTACATATATACATTTCACTACAATGAACTTAAAATAATTTGAAAAAATAGGTTTCCAACCCTACTTTACTATTCGGCGAAAAAGAAAACACTATTTTGTCGTGCACGAAAAAGAAAATTCTTTTACAAGACCAGTCCCACATTAAAGGTAGACCGTTGGAGAAGGGGAAAAAACAGGTCCGTCAAATTAGTTTAGCGAAATAGGCTTTTTGTCACAATTCGCAAACGTTAAAGGAAAGTTAAGAATACAAAGGTAATCAAACTTATACTCGATTAAAAAAGGTGACGATGGGTAAGGGAAATTACCCATATTTAGGTCTCAAAAGTTTACAAAGCGTAAGAAAGTTACTATCCATTTAGACATTTCTCTAAAGTTACAAAAAAGAAATTTACCATCAAGTGAATAAATTACTGTTTTTACGGAATATGGAGAAGCACTAGTTCAGAGAATCTACGCCTCCAAACAAAAATTACATCCTCCAAAGAAAAATTACTAAAGGTTATTTTACAGATAAATTACTATTAGTGAGGATGATTACGTACGCCGCACGAAAGTTAAGATCCACTAGATAATTTACTAACAGTAAGAAAAGAAATTTACTATAACTTAGGCAAATTATTATTTTTATGGAATATTACAAACTATAGGACTTACGGAACTTACAGTGACAAAAAGGAAATTAGTCATGTAAAAAAGTTGTGAAATGATATGTTACCATGAGATTACTAATAGTAACGAAAATGACGGATACCAAAGAAAAATCACGATCAATTGGACAGATCTTGCCCATTTTCCTTTCTCATTTGGTTGTCGTCAATTGTTCGACTAATTCTTGCCGATCTTTAGGTGGCTTTGAGTTGTGAAGATTATGGAGGAATTTGTTCTAGTCAAAATGGTATGTCACAGCTTGCTTTCTTTCTTTCTTTGCCTTTTTTTACTCTTTGTATAGTCGTGGTGTATGCTTAGCATTTGTGATTTTTTGCATGAAGTAACTACTGGATCATCAACTCATCTGATTTTACTGCCAAATTTGCTTACCGCTGCACAACACCCTCTTGTGGGAGGTTTTTGGAAATCTATTCCTTTTCAATTAGTGGAGGTGGGCTTGATTCTAGCTACGTGAGGATTGAGTTGAGTTGAGTTGAGTATTTCAAACAAAGGGAAGAGCCAGAGCAAAGCAAACATAGAGATGGATCAGTTCGTTTTAGGGAACTAAGCAAGCAAGATGATGGAAGACTTTGACTTGCTTTCCCTTGCCACAGAATTTTCTAAAAGGTAATTAACTCGGTTTCATAGAATAATTGATACGGAATCTTCAAAAAAAGTCCTTTTTTTCATGATAAAAATTTCTTTTGCAAAATGCAGATACTGGCATGAGCATGCAAGTAGAAATATCCCACTGACCCAATTTGGCGTTGCGCTTGACGGCTGCAATTGTTGTTGAGTTATGAGTCCTCAATAACAGCCCACCACAATCTTGAGCTCGACATCAAATCTAGTCAAGCTCCGTCGCAGCGTCTACCCAAATGCATGCTAGAATTACTAAAACACCGTCTACCCAAATGCATGCTAGAATTACTAAAACACGACGCTAGATCTAGTCAAGCATCATTGTAGCTTTGAGCAAGACGCCTCTATTTTTGAGTTGGGCCATGACAAAGAAGAGAGAGAGATACGAATAAAGATGGGGGCTAAGTCGTGGAAGGCGTCGTTGGTGTTGGTCGGGGGAGTGACCGTAGTATAGTGACATTAATTGGCAGTGGTAGGGGGAGGGGGATGACGGAGAGAGAGAGAGAAATGATGTGGTAGAATAAAATGCATTTCATGTGACAGTCGTATCAAGTGAGATAATAAGCCGATGGAAATAGAGTATTTTTGACATTTAAGCGACCATTAGGATGCAATTCAGCTAATAACCAAGAAAAACCACCATCCAAAGCAACCTAAACACATCAAGTTGGAACAGTACCAGACATTTCGCTCATCAGCAAGACTACTTTGCTAAACCAACTCCGATCTATTCAAAAATAAACCAGACTGATTTGACCCATCATCGTAGTGGATGAGAAATACCTATATAATATCTGCAGCGCTGACTAGCACAAAAAATGCGCGACAATATAATGATTCGAATACTATGGAGCGAAAAGCACCCGTTGGCGCACAGTGCATGGAAGAAAGAATTTGACTTGAACCAATACATAATTCACTAGTTTCTGCAATCAACAGCTAAGAATGACAAAATTTCGTAAGTCACTGGACCGTGGAACAAGCAAAGTGTACTTTCAAGCACACTATGAAACCCATCAATGAAACTCAAACATTAGAATAAACGTTGATTAGCAGAGTATTTGCCAGCATCTCAGCTCGATTCTAAAACATAGGAAATAGGCAAAGGCCAGAGTCCATTTCGACTTACAACATCAGGTTTGTCTATTCACATCCCAAAGGCAATGGTAGCACATATAATCTGGACCTCTCTAGTATGCCATTTCTTTTGAAAAGCTACTGTTTGACGGGCTACTAATCCAGCAACATCAACACACTCACTCTTTGAAAGGCAATATACTATGCCAAAAAAATTAGCAAAACGATTCTTTAGCAGCTTTCCAAGCTGCTTCAGTGGTTCCTTGGTCTTAGCTATGACCTCATATTTTAGATTTGGTCTGTCAAAGCTTGTCTCAAGAACAAGACCACCAGGAATCCCAAGAGCTTTTAGGATATCCTGCGATGGATGTATAATTCAATCAAAACAAACAGATTACTTCAACATAATCAGGAGGTTATTAGGTAAGTCTAATACCTCACGAACTGACTGAGTGGCAGTTGCAGTTAAGGCCATCACTGGGACATACGCAAAGTTCTGCTTGAGACATCCCAGTCCCCTATAATCTGGACGAAAATCGTGTCCCCATTGACTACACTAATGACAACCACGAAAGTGACAATCAATGTCACCCCCAAACCCCCCCCAACCCCCCACCACCCCCCCCCCCTCCGGAATTACGACCCCCCCCCCCAACCCCCCCCCACCCCAAAAACCAAACCACAACCGAAAGCGAAAAAAAAAAACAAAAAAAAAAAAAAAAAAAAAAAAAAAAAAAAAAAAAAAAAAAAAAAAAACAAAAAAAAACAAAAAAAAAAAAAAAAAAAAAAAAAAAAAAAAAAAAAAAAAAACAAACACCCCCCTTAAAAAAAATGGGAATGGTTATTTAAAACAAAAAAAAAAAAACAAAAAAAAAAAAAAAAAAACACAAAAAAAAAACCACCACCCCCCCCCCAACCCCCCCCCCCCCCCCCCCCCCCCCCCTCCTTTCCCCCCCCACCCCCCCCCCCACCCCCAAAAACCACCAACCCCACCAAAAAAAAAACAAAAAAAACACAAAAAAAAACCAAAAAAAAAAAAAAAAAAAAAAAAAAAAAAAAAAAAAAAAAAAAAAAAAAAAAAAAAAAAAAAAAAAAAAAACAAACAAAAAAAAAAAACAAAAAAAAAAAAACAAAAAAAAAAAAAAAAAAAAAAAAAAAAAAAAAAAAAAAAAACAAAAACCCCCACCCACCCCCCCCCAAAAACACCACCCCCCCCCCCCCCCCCCCCCCCCCCCCCCCCCCCCCCCCCCCCACACCCCCCCCCCCCCCCCCCCCCCCCCCCCCCCCCCCCCCCCCCCCCCCCACACCACCCCCCCCCCCCCCCCCCCCCCCCCCCCCCCCCCCCCCCCCCCCCCCCCCCCCCCCCCCCCAACACGACCCAAAGAGTCCGAGCTAATCATATGAAGCTTACCCACAGGCACGGTGGGTGGTGGAAGAGAGAGAGAGGAACAAAGAAAGAGTGAAATATGTGTTTACTTTTTAATCAGTCAAATGTACAAGAAAAGCTCAAACCAGCGGTACGTTCCTTTCATGAGATCAAACTGGCAGAGCAAATCCAATTAAGACCTTGTAAGAAACACAATCAATGATCACACGGGTGAACCTTTTCCTTTCTCAAGTTGTTAACATAAAGTATAAGCGTTAATAGAATAAATAGGGACACTAGAACCAGCTTAAGAGACTCAGTATCATGCCAAACATAGACAGGAGATTGGATCCTTATCCAAGCTTATGCCGGTTCCAATTACTTTAGGAAGTAATTTCCATTGGAGCTTATTTAATTTGTGTGCTCTTTACTCAATATAATGAACAATGTGCCACTAAGTGTTCCCGAACGACAACCTAAATCTTTTCCAAAGTTCAAACAAGGAACACTGCATTCTGTTACATTAGAACTTCACAGGGGTCAGGGCCCAAAGTTCAAACAATGAACACTGCATTCTGTTACATTAGAACTTCACAGGGGTCAAGGCTTAAGAAGGTCTAGTGTAACACTGACAATTTAATTAGGCTAGAAACACTGAAAATGCAAAAAAGTTTGGAAAAAGATTATAAGTTAGCATATATAAAAGTTAACTTGCTTGTATTTACCAGGAACAAGGACTAGTTTTGTAGTGGCAACATCACAAATAATTATTCCTTTTGAAGTAACTCTAACATGATCTTTCTTCATGTACAAGGTATGCCAAAGATTACGCATACCTCACGTAATGTGCCTCATCAACAACAAAACTGGCTAGTTGTGACAGCCATGATGGTCGAATGTAAAAAATTTATCAAGAACCTTTTACAAAAGGTTATGGTGCATCAGAAACAATACCTTTCTATTCAAGCATTTCAATATCTCGAGAAATGATGGGTTTCCCACAATCCTTTCAGGAGTTACATACAATAGCTTGCACGATGGTTTATCTTTTCTGAAAAGGCAGGCAAAGCAGAAGTGGAGATTTAAACTTTGACAATGACAACCCTCAGCCTAAAAGTTTTAGAAGTCCAATAGAGCTAAACCTTGCGTTAGTTCTTGGAGGACAGCTGCCGCTTGGGCAGCAGTTTGTTGAGTTCAGGAAAGTAGATGGCATTCCGTACTTGAGGGATAGAGTAATTATTTGATCTAGGATGAGAGATAGCAAGGGAGATATAACAACTGTGACACCTGGTTTAAGAGTTGCTGGCAGCGGAAACGAAGGGTCTAAACATCAGAAGAGCTCATGAAGAAAGGAAGGGACAAGGGAATTATTATTTCTTTCACCTTCAACTGAACAGGAAAGACCACTTGTCACTACTTGTCTTAAATTACTTTCAGCTAGAAACATATATCAACTACTTCAAGACTGAACAGAAAACAATTCTAAAAAATTCAACCTACTAAGTCCAGATTAATATTTTCCTCCTTAATCCAGTAAATCAAATATCCATCGTATATTAAAGGACAATAATTTCAAACCAATTATGGGAAAAAGAAATCATAGATCATCACCCTTTGTGAGATAATGGCATAGCCAATAACTGCGAGAAGATATGGAAATCTAGAACCTGTGTTTGGTGTAAGTACTTTGAAAACTTATTCCTATTCGACTTAATAACCCATTTGAATTGGACCTGAATTATGACCGACAACAACACTTACATGCATAAACAAGATGGATTTTCCAGTAAGTGATTAGAAGGTCCTAGAAGCATAGCACAAACTTTAAATTCTAGAAATTACAGAACAGATAGAGATGTGCGAAGGCAGAACGAGAATGTATTGTATTTTCTTCTTTTCTAATTTTGTCCGATGACATACATTAGAACCCATGGTTATGTACCTAAATCACTTCCTATGGCTTAATTTTCATTTGAAAAACATTTCCTTCCTTAAGTTCACAACCTTCGTTTTTTTTTTTGGATGGAAGTTCACAACCTTCTAAACAGTGCTAAACAAACCAGATTGGAAGATCATGTTATAGCTTAAATTTTGACATACAGGTCTACCCTTTTACATTTAATTGGTGGAACCATTGAGCAAGTGCATAGGGCTTGTGCTTTAAACATTGTCTCCACACTCTTCTACATACAATCATTACACAGTTGAGACAATGTTAACGTTCACCAACCTGGTAACATAAACTTTTACCACCTCCAGTGGGCATGAGAATAAAGCAATCTTGCTTGGCTACAGAAGTTTTACAAGCCCGATGCTGCATTGGTCAAAATGCCTTGTTTCCAAATATGACAACATTTGCCAATTATATGTCATCCAAGGCTTGCAATTCCTCATAACTCAGAGTCCCTTGTTTGGATGTTGAAATCCAAGAGCAGTGTCCTTTATTTGAAACTGACCAATGTCCTTTATTTGAAACTGACCAATGTCCTTTATTTGAAACTGACGATATTGAACCTTGAGTGACAGTGCTCTTATGGTCCTTCAACAGAAATAAGCCTCTTCAGCACTGTAATAGTTTCTGACATGGATTGTCATGGAAAGTGAAAAATGTGCACAAAGAAACCACAAGCCTTCGTTTACACAAAATATTCCTTTCAACGACGCTGGATTGCTAAGTTCCACACTTTAATGATCTGCTATACTCTCAAAGTATTTGAGAAAATAGGTATTTGTACATCATCCAAAACTAAAATCAACTTTTTTATAGACCAAAGAGTTCCAATATGTCATTTTGGATCTTGAAGGTTGTGGAAGTAATTGCCAAAAGTTAGGAGTGTCTATTGGACATTTGATTGGATGAGAGGCCTCATAAGCAACTTACTAAATACTTTTGTACATGTACATTGTGTAGGTCCTTTGCTGTGTGCAGAATCACAAGCAAATTGCCAATGACCAAGGAGAGAATAAATTATATGAGAAAATAACAGTGACACAGTGATTTAAGTGGTTTGGCATGTATTGTCTATGTCCATGGGAGAAGCATACCATGTATTCTAAAGATCGTCTGGCCAGAAGTTGAGTGGATGAATTGTTCGCAGTACTACTTTGGTCAGGAATATAGCATGCGGATTTCCTACCCATTTTACTGCCAAATATATTGTCTTCGTCTTCACTGTCAGTAGAGGAATCCACCTCAAGAAAAGTTTGATTTTTCTCAGGTTGTGGAGAATCTTCTATAATATTAACATCATGCACAACATTGCATTCGCCGTCATTAGGGATATCTTGGCCAAACATATCAGCCAAAACTCCACAAGCTTCTGATTCCGCAGCTTGCAAATCATCCCAATCCTCAGTATCTTGCATAGTTTCGGCAAGTTCTGCTAGAAAATCATCGCCACAGTGCTCCACAGTGATAAACTCTCGGCCTTTGTCGGCTTAAAAAAAAAGGCCAAATGAAGAAAGAGATTATTTTGCAAGTCAATAAGACTACTCCGCCAAAGCCACAAAGAAATGCCAATGAGACTAACGCTCAATGAACAAGATTTAACCAGCTCCGGTCCATTCAAATCCAAAGTAGACCATTTCGCAGCCATCATCAGAACACTGGCTAACCGCAATAAATCTCCTTATTTAGGAATGCACAATCAATCAATTCAAAAATTATCCACGCAACATAAGCAATTACGTTGTTCCCTAATCACCAGATACCACCCAATTTGGCCAATAACCAAGAAAAGCCACCATCCAAAGTAGCCTCAACACATCAAACTGGAACCGTGCCAGACATTTCGCTCGTCAGCAAGACTACTTCGCCAAGCCAGCTCCGATCTATTCAAACCTAAACCAGACTATTCCAGAGCCATCATCGCAGTGGACGAGCAACACCTGCGTAATACCTGCAACGCTGACTAGCACCAAAAAATAAAAAAAAACGCGCGACAAGGAACAATGATCCGAGTTACCGTAGAGGGAAACGAGACGGTCCAAGGACTTGGTGGCGGACTGATGGTCGAAGCCGAACTTGAGAGCCAAGCTCAGCAACCGAGCTTTCTCCACCTCTTCCAACCACCCGATCCTCCATGGAATCTCTCAACCTGTGTTCGACGCGATTCGATCGATCGATCGATCGACGATGCGCGAGTCGGAATGGAATGGAATCGATCGCTAGCCTCTCTCGCGAGAGCGGGCGCGCTCGAAGTGCTCTCTTTCGAAAAACCAAGCCAGCTATGGCGGGATTGATTGCTTTTCCTTTGCCTCTTGATATGGTTTGATAATTATTCGGCGCGCGTGAAGTGAGAACTGCTTTATCCAATGAGATCCATCGAGTATTTTAAGAAAACTGCAGACCACATTTTAGCAAAAAAAAAATCTTAAAAAAAGGTCATTGGTTTTTTTGGGCAATAAGATTATTGGGTTGAAATAGATAGGAATATGTGTAAAAGGCTCCTTTGCATACCTAAGACTTGCGTGTCATACTGAATATATAGATATACGAGAAGCATCTCAAATTTCTTTTATCTGTTGTTGTGTATCAACAAAAGAAAATAATGACAAAGTAACAATTTTTATTAATATATATTACGATGGAATGAACTTCAAATTTTTTTAAAAAATAGCATCTCCAACACTACTTTACTGTTTGGCCAAAAAATAAATAAATAAAACTCCTTTATTGTGCCCAAAACTTCATAATAGTAACGGATATTCACCTAAGTCAAAGTTATCTTTTACGGGATTGGTCCCACATTCAACGTGGACCGTCGGATTAAAAGGATAAAAAATGTGGTCCGTCAAATTTATTTTGTAGAATTGATTTTTGTCATAACTTTCGGACATTAAAGAAAAGTTCCGGACGCAAAACTGATCAACTTTACGGATTGAGAAAAATTGCGATGTGCAAGGAAAATTACTAACATGTAGGTCTCAAACCTTTACAAAGTGTAAAAGAAAATTACGATCAATTAAATATTTTACTAAACATACACAAAAGAAATTTACTATTAACTGAATAAGTTACTATATTTATGGAATATTATGAACCACAGGCTCTAGAAAATTTACGACCTCCAAAGAAAATTTAAACCCTCTAAAAAAAGTCATGTAAGGATAAATTACAGATAAATTACTATTAGCGGGATAATTATGCGCCAAAAGAAAGTTAAGATTCATTAGGTAATTTACTAATTACAGAAAAAAGATATTCATTAGGTAGATTAATATTTTTTTGTGAAATTTTACAAATCATAGGATTCAGGGAATACGGCAACAAAGGGGAAATTACATCCTGTGAAAAAAAATTATAAAATGATATGCAACCGATAAATTACTATTAGTGAGGAAAATTACTAATAAAGAAAATTATGAACAAATGGACGGACTCGGTCTGTTTTCCCTTCTCACCTGGTTGTCGTTGATCGTTCAACTGCCTCACGTCGATCTTTAGGTTGTTCTGAGTTGCGAAGAATATGGAGGAAGTTGTTCTAATCAAAATTGTATGTCTTCACTTTCTTTCTTTCTTTGCCTTCTTCTCTCTGTTCAGTCATGGTGTATGCTTAGCATTTGTGATTCTTCACGTGAAGTAACCGCTGGATTATCAACTTATGTGATTTTATTGCCAAATTAGCTGCTCCCTGCATAACAGCCAATTCTGGGGGGCCCTTATGTTTTAGGGTATCGTTTCTTGAGAAATCCGTTCCTTTTCACTTAGAAGAGGTTGGGCTTGGTTCTAGCTATGTGAGGATCGAGTCAACTTGAGCCTGAGTATTTCAACTTTTGCTATTGAGTTGAACTTGAGTAGAGAAAGCGAAACTTGATCGGGTTTCTTTTTTTGAAGTTGTGCACTTTACTCTGAGCGTGTGGTGTCGATCTTTTCAAGTTAATGTATAAGTCCAATTCATATATTAATCTATCCTTTTGTGCTATAGGAAGGCATTTCATTTTTCTCTTTGCTATCGGACTTTCCATGGATAAAGGCAAGAGCCAGAGCAACGCAAATAACGGAAAGCATCAGTTCATTTTGGAGCGTTCTTTCGTGGTGCTTGTTGCACCAATTGTTCTTTTGGTGTTCGCTTATGTCTTCTAAAGAAGACGAAAAAGAGCGGAAGATATACACATGTAGAAAATAAGAGCAATGACAAAGCATCTACATCTACGTTCATCTCTCCAACACCAACAAGAGCAGGAAAGTGATCCCTATGATATATTCTTGAGCTTTAGAGGCTACAACAATCATAAATGAAGGAACGGTACCAATGTTTGTGTTCAGTGATGATAACAGCTTCCATGTCGGCGAAGGGTTTGGTTCATGGCTCCTTGATGCGATCACATGGGCTAATATTTTGATGCCTATAATCTCTGAAAATTGTGCTTCAATTGAGGTGGGCGGTTTTAAGTGGAGACTTTAACGAACTGTTTCATGAATTAAGATGGCTTCAATGGTTTGACATTAAACCCAATCTGTCTTTTTCGGCAACTAATTTGCATCTATTGAAATTAGTCATGCTGCAGTTGTCATGCAACCAGGTAACAGAGCATTGGAGAGGATGGAGTTCAATAATGGTAAGATGGAAAAAAGACATCCTCTGCGATATTTTTTTTCTTGTTTTTGTTTTGTTCGAAACAGAAGCTTTTCCATTTCTTAAGTAGCACAAGATGAACGAGCAACATGGGCTTCTAATACTAAGAGGTCCCATAAGGCTAAAAGAGGGTTATAAACCCAATAACAAAGGACATGCTTAGATCTTTGGGCTTTCACTACCCAATCCACAACTTGGTTAGCCTCTCTTGACAGCTTTTCTTCTTTGTATAGGTGACAAAGCAGCTAGAAGTTCTTGACCTTGCATTTTGCCATTATGCAAAATGTACTCAGGATTTTTCGGCTATCACAGAGTTGGAGATTCTTAGCTTGAAAAAATGTCACGGGCTAATGCAAGTCCACCCTTTTGTTGGCAAAGTCAAGAGCCCCGTTTCCTTGGGCTTGAGTTCTCGTGTTAGTCTCAAGGAACTACCAGGAGAAGTGGGCAAATTAGAAGAACTAAACGAACTTATTTTAGATTTTGCTAGTTTTACAAAGATTCTCATATCAATTGATTCTCTAAGGAAGCTGGAGAAACTTAGTGCCAGGGGTTGTTGGTCATTGAGAGAAATTTATAGTTCAATTGGGGATTTACAAAACTTGTAAGATCTGGACATTAGTCATTCTAAGATTGAAAAGTTACCTATTGCTATTGTAGGGTTGTAAGAATTGCGAATGCCAAGCCTTGGATTCTGCTATAGATTGAAAGAGGAAGTTCCAAGTGAGATGGTGGCTTGTATTCGCTTGAGAATCTCCAATTCATTAGTGCACCAATATTTGACCTACCAGAAAGCAAAATCGAAATCTTTCTTCTCTCCAACACCTTAGGCTATGGGCTAATATGATCTCCGATCGCTGCCAGTGTTTCCTTCCGGCTCAACAGATTTGAAGGTCTTTTGTTAGAGTCTCAAGTTACCACAACTTTCTTACCTAATCTATCCAGAAGAACTTGATCTTTATGAATGCTATCTACTCGAATAGACCCTAGAGCTTCCCTCAAGACCCTTGAAACTTTGTGTTGCCTCCTGTCATAAGCTGATATTGCCTTAGCTTGACTGATTGAAGTACTTGGAAGAGTTTTCAATAGAACACTACGGCTATATTAAAAGAAATGACATTTCCCACCTGAAACGATTACACTTGTTTTACTATAATCTAGTTAAAATTTCGGGCCATGATAATTTTTGAGTTTTAGGAGGATGTTAAGATGCACATGTAGTTGTATTAGAAAAGTCCTCCATTGGAGAATTGCTATGATGTGGAGTAGTTAATGTATCATAGCTGACCCATAACACATTGGCTTTACCTTTTAATTTAAAATAAGTTTAATTGGATATGTTGCCGAACTCAAATTTGGGCTCTCTCTTAGCAATCTCCTCAGATGAATATCTCGAATTTTTGCCGCGCCTCTCCATCAGAAGAAATAGCTATATATTGCCGCAAGTCCATTGAAAGGGTAACTATTGAAACAATCTAGTCGAAATTCAAGGTCTTGATAGGGCGGAGTTCTTAGAGGCGTTGGATGTCTTTGATAATGGATCCATTGAGCGATTACCGACCGATCACGCTTCATGACAATAAATCTGTTCGACAATAATTTTTAAATTGTCTAATCAAATTCTCTGACTTTTGTAAATTTTTAACTAAGTCCTTTCGACAATAAATCTGACACAATTCAACTAACGTGACCGTTGGAGTGTAACATGGACAAAAGTTTTCCAACCCCCCCCCCCCCCACCCCCCCAAATTGTAAGGCCCCGTTCATGGGCATCCACATTGTTAATCCACATCATATATCAACATCGTTCACATTGACTAAATTTTTCCAGGGTGTTGTTCATGTGGGCTTATCCACATTGTCCTTGAATGTTGTCCCGACTTGCCACGTTAACTAGATTTGGGCGGATTTATATTTGCACGGATTTGATCAAAAAAATTGTGAAGGTAGAAGGACTTACTTAAAAATATTAAAATCGCACGAATTGGATTTGAAAAAACACGAAAGAAGAATTTTTCGTTTTATAAATTGTATAGATTTACAGATTCCATCTCCGTAGTTTTGGGATTTTCATCTTCCAGTTAGCTGCTCATGATCTTGTGCTCGGGTACAAGTATAATGCTTACCCCGCCCAGATGCTTTCTTATTCTGCCCAGATTTAGTGATTTTCTTAGGGGGCTTCCTCGCCATTTAGAAATCTTTGACTAGTTTCTTATGCGTCAAATTTGACTAATAGCAGAAATCACGTTTGAAACTATCACATTCCGATTTTCCGATATGATAATTCTAGCTCATGCGAGAATGAACTTGCAAACCACATGAAAAACTGAGAATTTATTGAGACTGAAATCCAAAGATTTGGATTAGCGGTCAAGCAATTGTGTCCTTCTATTTCAACACCCAATGTCAAAAGAATTGGTGAACAAGAAGGGTGATACCTTTTTCAACGTAATAGTAGTGGCCATAAAGGCGAAATTCCTCAAATATTACAAAAACATCCCGCTTTTTTTTGGTAGCCACTACCTTGGATCCAAGGTTCAAGTTAGAGGGGCTCGAAATTCTTCTTGTTTCATATTACAAATATTTGGGACTGAGTCAGGAGTTCCAAGTGGAACACATATTGGCGATAACGATGAGTTGGCTCTCAAATATGTATGTGGCATATGCTAGTCGATATAATACGACAAGTTCCATCCCACAGCCTCATTTAGTAGTGCCCACAAACCTATATGGTCTTTGCTTCATAAGTAGAAGAACAACCCCAGCCCGCTAAGTCTTCA